ATATATCATAGAGCATAATTGCAACCCTCTCCTAAAATTCTGTAATTCAACTGGTGATCCCTCACTGGCCTGCAAACCCACACAGTGGTGATCCCTCTCACTCCATCCTTTCAGCAATCCCATCTCATTTCTCATCAAGCTGCTGGGGAGGTTTCTGTGGGCCTCAGCAATTCTGCAGAGATCTGCAATAGCCACAAGGCACTGCACAATTTGCTCACATGTCCCAAAGCAGCAGGAAACAGCAGAGGAAAAGCTTTCTCAGAGCTCACTGCAAAGGAGGGTGCTGCCACTGCTTTAAATTAGTCTTTTATTTTTTAATTGTGGTTTCCTGAATGTTTCTTAGAATCAACTGACTGGATAGCACAGCAAAAACTGCCTGAAGTCACACAGATTTTTTTGAAAATAATCAATTTAAAGCTGACAGAAATACCTTGTTAAGGTCTTCTCCAAAACTGGATCTGTGGTTGACTTCTGCTTTCAGCAAGGATGATGTCAAACAAGGAACCAAAGCAAGAGACAGATAGGAAATGGATATGGCTACTATGGGCAGAAGAATTCCCAATTCTTTGGGAATTAGTCTCAATGGAACTAGGACACAATCAAGATAAAAAGCCCTCTGTATTAATAAACTGATTATGAAAAAGCAATAGTGGTGAAAATAGAATTCTTTTTTTACACTTTACCAAAAGAACAAACTCCAATAAGGGCAAAAGATTATAGATTATGCAAGATTACTTGTGACAGCAACACTTTATGCTGACTGCAAAGTACTGCAGAAAGAACTACTGAGAACTGCAAAAGAAGTTCAGTGTCAATTAAAAAAAAAAAAGAATAATGCACTATAGGCACTCATTTTCACCAAACATATGGGGTTAACGAGCCCCAAGTTAGTTATTGCCAATACCTTGTGCCTTTATGGAAAAGCAGCAGGAAACATCAGCTCAATGGCAGTTCAAAAGTAAATCAAATATTATAAACTGGAACAGACACATACACACAGACAGAAAAAAGACAATTATGTCACTAGACTCTCCCACATATCAACATCTTAAATATTGCCCATAGTCTTGGTCACCTTATCTCAAAGAGGATACAGACCAAGTAAAGGAAGTTAAAAAAGATGATTGGAGATGGGAAAATGCTTCTGTGTGAGAAGAAAGCAGCAAAGACTTGGCCTTTCAGCTTGGGAAAAAAACAGCTAAAAGGCTCAGGTATGGAAGAGATTTAGAGATCATAAATGATGCAAAAAAAAAAGTGAATGGAGAAGGAACAATGACTGTTTTACAACAGAAAAATCATTAGGCAACAAATTTTAGACCAAATCACTTGTGCTTCTTTACATCATGTCTACTGAAGACATGGCATTCCTTGCCAAACACAGGAAGTAAAAGCAAGTTTTAAATGGGATTTGATCAATTCATGGAAATCCATGTGCCACTTGCTGGTAGGATACATTGAACTATAATTGTTTTACTCACTGTTACATATTGTTCCCTGAAAATACCTGCTGAAGGGCAAAGGGAAGAGGACCAACACCAGTATGGTGTAAGGGAGAATGAAAAAAAGGAAAGGGATTTTCACATGTAGACTTTGCCATTGAGCATGATTGGATAAAAGTGCAATAAGAATGAAAAGAGGTGCTGGATGATAATTAAAGTGAAAGACCAAGAAACAGGGAAGAAACAATTTCTTTGGAATGGAGTTAGAACATTTTTCTTCAGAAAACCTGGTGTAAAACATTGCTGTAAGCGAATGAAATTTCGTTTAGGATTGGAAGACACTAAATCTGAATTGTTATCTTAGAGCTCAGTGGAGAAACAGAAACACAAAGAAGATCAATGGTTTACAGTTTGTTCAGCCCAGCAAACCAAGAAAGTGGGGGTGAAAACCACTTACAGGTAGTCAAGTGATAAAGGACGAGGGAAAACTCCTCAAGAGGATCTTGAGGAAAACCTTTGCAAGAGCAAAGATTCCTAACTTTAGGACAGAACTTGCTCAGTTTATGTGAAATTATATGATGTGGTCGGCCTGAAAATGGTGAGGAACAATTAAGATCCCTGTTAGATTAAAATCTGCCACAAATGACAGCAAAGGGAAGTACAGCTGCAGGGAAGGTCAGTGGCATTATCGTCACTTCACAGGAAAGGGAAGTGAGTCTCCACACTCTGATTCTCCTCAAGGTCTTCCAAGGCAGTTTAAATCAAAATAAGGAAGCAAGCAAGACTCCAGCCAGCATTGACAAACCCTGACACCCAAAAAAAAAATTCATGCAGCTTATCTGCAGCATGGATGGATAGAAATGCAAGATAAGTCTGAAAGTCTGACAGGACACCAAATCATTAAAGTCATCACTGCATAACCATCAGGACAAGAAGCTGTAGAGAAATTATGATACAGACTTGTCTGATAATAAAATATGACATCAGGTTTTTGTTATATTGCTCTATTTCTGTATCAGCTCCTAAAATACTTACAGGCATAATAAAACCCATCTGATTTACAAGGGAGAGTGTGACAAGGGGTCACAGAGATGGAAGAATAATCTGCTCAGATGAGATGAAGTTACAGATCATTTAACTTTTTACCACCTATGGTAGGATGGCAGTAATTACCCGCATGCAAACAGAACTAACATAAGTAACAGCAAAATACTTAAAATAGCCAGCTCACACCAAAACAAGAGGTTTCTACATGCCTTAAACAACTGCTTCCTGGAAGATGAGAATCCATCAAAAACCATCTCAAAAAGGATGCAAATTGGGCACGTAGAACATAAAGAAAATTTACATCTGAGCCAATACAGTGACACAACTCAGAATGTGCAACTGTCAGAGGTGGTTGGGAATCTCAGAAAGTCAAAAATAAATGTTAATTTGAAAAGTTCAGTGGCAACCTTGACTGTCCTTACAGCCACACATCTTACTAAGGGCAAAACAAAGTGAAGAAAAGAGTATGATAGCTACACTAAAAAGGTTTAGTGACCCTTTTGAAAATACAAATGGAAACCTGTAAAAAGAAACCAATGTAGTAATACTGGTCTTTTAACCTTTACTCTTAACATTTACACTTCACACCTTGTTTCTGAAGTAGGCAGTGTGAAAGACCAGCAGGCATGCTCATATGGTGAGGTAAATAATGTTGAGTAAAACGACTTTTGGAAGTGATAGTCACGAAAATGAACTGTTCATACTGTCAGAAATCTGATTCAAAGTACATATGTTCTCACCTTTACAGCACAGCTCACTGGTAATGAGCTTTACTGTGGTACAGGGCAAGGAATTGTGAGCAGAAGCATGAAAAAGATACATGATAACCCAGCCAAGGTGCTCTCTAAGAGGGAAAGTAATAAATCCACAGGAAAAAATCAACAAAACAGACGTTGTAGAAGGAATTAATTATCTTTCCATCCACCTGAAAAACAAAGCACTTAGGCCAGGTTTCTGCCTGCTATCCAGTTTAACACTACAGGAGGTAATGGTGTTTCTATATTACAAAGAGCAGCTCTGCTGCTACTCCTGAATTCTACACTTCTACTGTTTGGATAAAAATTTTTTAATTTTTAAAAAGTTTTTAAAAATTTTTAAGGACTGGAGCGGGAAAATTGTTAATCAAGTTTAAAGGCAACTACAAAGATCAGTATAACCCTCAACATAATTTTAATATTTAAATCCACAGCATGGTCCATAATCTTGCCAAGTAATTCCTGTAAGGAGGACACAGTCATGTAGGTAAATGTGTCTAAGAGAAGACCTGAAAACCCACTTTACCACTGGGATCACAGGTATCTTTTGGAAGGGGAGAAAGAAAAAATAAACAGAAGGCCTCTTCCCTCAGCCAAAAGTTTAAAATGATGGAATGCACTTAACAGAGGAATGCACTTGAGTTAACCTTAAGAATTCAGGAAAGAACTATGTGCAGAGTGCACACAGCTTTGAAGACACCCAGCCAAAGTGCACCGGTCCAAGAGTATATTCCACATTAGCGAGCACAAAGCTGCTGAACCAAGGACTGTGACACGCAACGTGACTAATAGCTACACACCCTCATGTCCAGCCAGTTTTCCACCCCTTCATCCCCATCACGACAACCGCAACAGCTTCAGGGTCAGTGAAGAACTCCAAGGTGAGGCTTCCACACAAAAAAACATTTTGGAGCTGCCTCATTTCTGACATTCTCGGGAGTCCTTCCTCGGAGATTACACAGCCAAAGGCGGGAGGGGACCAAAGCCAGGTTGACACTTGGCTCTGTTACAACCAGCAGGGGCAAGACGCCCCTGCCTCGCTCAGAGCTCCCACAGAACCCCCCGGGACTGAGCCGGCTCCGGCTCGGCCCTCGGCACCCGGGCAGGGCATCACCCACAGGAGGCACCGGCGGCACCCGCGGAGCCGCAGCGGGGCCGAGCGGCCCCGGGGCCCGCCGGCAGCCGCGGCCCCCGCCCCGCCGTGACCTTCATGCCGCCCCCACCGGCGCCGCGGCCCTCACGGCGCTCCCCGCTCCCTCCCTCCCGCTCCGCGGCCGCACTGCGGGGCAAGGCCGGGCCGCCCACCCGCGGCCGTCACCGCGCCAGGCTCCGGGCGCGGACGGAGGTGAGCGGAGGGGCTCAGGGGGGCCGGGATGGGGGAGCTCCCCGCACTCACTATTCCTTGATGAGCACCATGGCGGTGCCGCCGCGCGCCTCCCGCCCGGGCCAGCGCCGCTGGAGGTGACAGGAGGCGAATCCCGGAGGCGCTGCGCGGGATGGAGCGAGCCGAGCCGAGCCGAGCCGCGCCGCACCGGGACGGGGGGGCCGGGCCGGGGGGGCCGGGGCGGTTCGTCTCTGCGGCAACGGCTGCGTCAGCTCCGCGCCGCGCGCGGGGCGGGCCCGCCCGGCTCCTCCCGCCCCTCACGGGCTCCGCCCGCCCCCTCACGGGCTCCTGCCCGGATGGGCGCTGACGTTTTAAACGAAAAAGCCTGGTTTTTTTTTTGTGTTTGCGTGTTTTTTGTTTGTTTGTTTGTTTTTTGGGGTTTTTTTTGTTTTTTTTTTTTAGGTTCTCTCATGACGTGTAAGCGCGCGGTGGTGTTTCAGCTACACGGCCGAGCTTGCCAGAGCAGTGCCGCGGTCTTCCCAGCAGTGCCCTCCGGGCAAGCCCTCAGGTTGTTCTGGATCAACTAATTTTAAACTACAGCTGCTTCTTTAGGTTCTCTCAAGAGGTGTAAACCGCATGGTTATTACTTGTTCCAGCTCGGGACTGGGGTTCCCGAGAAGTCTCCCTCCTGCCACCAGCAGGTTCTCCTTAAATCACAGAATGGTTTTGCCTGGGAGAGACCCCAAGACCCCAAAGTCTTGTTCCACCCCCTGCCATGGCCAGGAACACTTTCCTCTAGACCCGGTGGCTCCAAGCCCTGTCCAGCCCTGGGCATTTCCAGGGATGGGGCAGCCACAGCTTCTCTGGGCAGTCCATGCCAGGGCCTCACCACCCTCATAGAGAAGAATTTCTTCCCAATATCCAACCTAAGTTTCCTTTCTTCCGGTCAGAACTCAGTACTCCTTGTCCCATCACTACAGTGCCTGACAAAGAGTCCCTTTCTGGCTCTCCTGTAGCTCCTTCAGATACTGGTAGGTGCTGTGTGGTCTCCACACAACCTTCTCCTCTCCAGCCTGAACTGACCCAAATTTCTCATTATGTCTCAACAGGGGATGTGCTCCAGTATTTTTGTAACTTTGTGGCCCCCCTCTTTTGGGAGGGTGGGGAAGGGGAGTGACGAGTGACCAGGGTATTAACGCAAATAGCCAGGGGATAAGTCAGTGCTACAGTCAGACAGGATGAGTGGCTTCAGGTTATGGGCTTCACCTTGTCGCTAGGTCATGATTTATGGCATTTTCAATGATTGTCATTATTGGATTGGAAAAGTAAACCACCATAGATTTAGCATCACCAAGCTAAGGCAGGGATAACTGACACGTGCAGCTTTGCTGTTGACACCTGCACTCTCCTCTAAGGCCACACTGTTCATTTTTCACTATTTATCAGCTGTTCACACTGTATAGCTGAGCTCAATCTCATTCTCAACCTGCCACCTACAGGGTGTGGAGTTTTTTCTCAGAGATTAAATTCATTTGGAGAAAAAAAAATTAATTGACAGTAGCTATTAGCTCCTAACCTAGAGAAGAGTCAAGGAAATATTCAACCTGGGTCCTGCCCTTTGGCAGATGCCATCCTATAAAACCTTCATGGTTCCATAATCTTTTATTATGTTCACCCTCAGAAGGAAAATGAATGATTAACTTATTAACACTTTATTTTGATATAGTACTGCAAGAGTGCACATCACCTTACAAACACAGAGAAGATGACACAGGCCTGCCCGAGGAGTTTACAGTTCCACTTCGGCAAATGCTACAAAAAATTCTGTGGACAGGAAAAGGTGGGAGAGGTAATGCTGGCAGGTTAAAGAGTGGGTTTTCTGAAAGAGGGGATTGTCTCCAGAATAAAAAGCAGGTGACAGAGGGTCAGGCACAAGGAAGTGACAAACAGCAGTAGGATGACAACGTGGAGCACAGGACACCTGGCAAAAACAGATTGCACAGAGACCGGCTGGCAGCACATGGAGGAAAACAAGGACCTGTGGGCTTTATAATTAACATGTAAGATTGCAGCTACATAACACATCATTGTTTCAGCTATTCCAGAGAAGATAACATTGTGAATCAGTAATGGCCCTTTTTTTTTTTAATAAAAAACCCCAAACCAGTCCATTCCCAACAGGAATCCTGCTGCAATACTATTTTCCATTATGAGCACTTTGCAGTTTTAAACCGGGGTGTAGAGAATACCAAAAAGCTCTACAGATGCAGAAAAAAAAAAAAACAAAAAAACCAAAAAAACAAAGGGGGGAAGAAAAGAGTAGCAAATATGTTTAGTTTAGAAATATAATTCCTTTTACTCTACAGTATCTGCTTGGAATTTTGTAGCATATTTTCCAAATTCAGCCTGTCAAGAGGGAAATCTACTTGAAAACATTTTAGTGATTTACGGACTTAGTTAAAAATCTCATTATCCTGCAATTTTCCTTTGCAGAAGGACAGAGCATGAAGAGGCCAGGCTTTGCTGTGGGAGTTGAACATTTCAGTTGCTGTAGCAGCACTGCAGTTAAGTTGGTGTCTCAGCAAGATTTGCCCCCTTTTCTCTCCCAGACATCTGTGTCCAGTTTCATCTCAAGGATCCAGATATAGCTTCACTCAGTGACTGTCAGAGTGTAAGTGTCCTATTAAGCAGAACAGCACAGATTTTCTCTGCTACTTCTGACATCGTGTCATTGCATTAGTGCTATAAAGGCTGTGTCAACAGGGCTTAGGTTCTGACAGATTAGTGAAAGCAAAAAGCTGTCACCCTCCCTTCCCCACTCTGTGAATTCTATTTTTTTTTTAAATACAAATGCAGATTAAATGCATGTGAGAAGCTGTAGAGCCTGGGAGCAGTGTCTCCAGAAGGTGCAATCGTTTTACACAGCAACACCTCTGAGGTACTCACAGATCAGGTTTCTGCTTCCTTATATTCCATTGGGGTTGCTTCCATGGAGCTCTTTCCCATGGCCAACCATCCTTGCACTTCCCATATGGATCGGGGTAAGGAGGTACAAAAGACACAAAAAAACCTCAAGTCCTACAAGTTCATAATTTAGGAATTATGAGAGTAGTTCAGCACATTGACCAACATTTGAGTTATACAGATAAATGCATTATTGATGCTAACTGCTGTAACTCTCTAGTCTTTGGTAGCCCATTTATTTTTCCCACAAGGTGGCTCATGCAGCAGGGAGTGCACCAGGCATTGTCTTGGTCCTGAAACACTCAGCTGGGGAGCAGCAATGCTGTTTTCCACTCCAAATGTATATAACCCATAACTCTATTTCCCTAAACATAAAAGGATGAGGCAAACTGCCCCTGATCAACCACATGTGACATGACCACCCCAACTGTGTTTGTGCTGTGCAAGACAATGTTTAGAATAATCTGAAGGCAGAATATTGCCTTCCACTGACCCCACTGCTGCAAGAGGTGCAGCTCTGTAGCAATTATGTCACAATCAGTAGACTGTTTGCACATCTTGCATGCAGATACAGGTTTTTGATAGATAAATATGAGACTGAAATTAGTTTGGTTCACAACTGTCAAAATAAATTTCACCCCATTAGATCAGACCAGTGTTTCACTTTAGCCCAGTGTGTTTTCTCTAGCTTTGGCCAATTCTTACAAGACAGAACATGCAGACAAGTATCTTTCCTCAGCATAACTTTCTTATTTACAGCAACTTAAAATCTCCCTGAGTTAGTGGATGCATCAGACCATTGTTTAACCAGCCTCTTCTTTTAAAAAAATTGATACTTCTGTTCCTCACTACATTGTTCAGCAAAGAATTCCAGTTTGACTTTGCATGGCCCCAGAACATGATCCCATTTGTCTGTTCAACCCTGAACAGCTAAAAGCTCCCTCTGTACCCACCAGGACATGAGCCCTACTCCTCACAGCTGACCAGCAGCTTTCTGACCACCATGGGACATGAGCAGAGACATGAAGCACACACATTCACCAGTTTATCAGCTAAAACTGGATTTAAAGATATCCCTAATAAAGGGCAGGATCTGGGAATTGCAGCAGGGAGGTAGATGGCAGAAATAAAACTGTGTTTTTTGAAGTATGTGCAGGTAAATTAAAAGGCAGCAGCATCTCCACTAAGACTTCATTTAAATATGCCACTCTCTATTCCACTATTTTGCTGAGACATTTGTAACAGGCATTTAAGTGACACAAGAGTGGAAGATATCACATTCAGTTCTGAAACTGAGGTGGAAGTAATGCTGGGCTAGCACACAAAACACCAACTCTGCTTTCGGACACAGACTATGGATGAAGGCTCATGCACCTGATACTTAAATCTGTCATTGTCATGTCACGAGTATCTCTGAGCAGGAACAGGACTCTTCTCAAAATACATTGTAATACAAAATGCAGAAATCTGCAGAAAGCCCTCTGGCTGTACCACTGCTGGTGTGCCTCTGAACATGTACTTGAGACAAGACAGGTGACCAGCAAAATTAATCAAAACTCTGCCTTCTTAATTATTGCTCAAAGAAAAGATGGAAAGCTCACTAAATCATCACCAAAACACAAAAAGTTCCAGAAGAATACAGTGTTGACAGCAGGCAGTAAAGCTGCCTTGAAACAAACACATTTAATAAAGGCAACATATTAAAAAAAAAAAATCACAGATGTGTAAAATCCTCGAGTGGTGAATCCTTCTGAAACGAGTGACTGAAGGCTGAAAGGTACCACGGAGTGCGCAGCAGCAGCGACTGGAGATGGCGCTGCCGGCCCACGGAGCGCTGGCCCTGCCACCACCAGGGACCCGGCTGAGGTTCTGCCTCCTTCAAACCCCAGCGAAGGAGAAAACACCCAGCTTAGCTTCCAGTAATTTGTCACAGGAAGGTTGCAGGACGATGCTGTTTCTTGTACTTTTCCAGACATAGACAAGTTGAATGCCTGATCCCCGGCCAGGCTTTGCAGTAAAACACCACCACTAAGTCTCTGTAATTGTTTTATTTCTGCCCCAACCTTCCCGCAGCCGCCAGCTCAACCCAGGGCAGTCGGTGCCTGCACCCGCTGGGGATGCTCATCCTCACCCCTGCACAGTCCTGCTCCCAGCAGCTCCACTCGGTGCAGTGCTTAACACAGGGCTACAGAGCCTGAGCTACCGACCTCAACAAGAAGGTTAAGGGCAGAAAAGTCTGCTTTAGACAAGGAAAACCTCTATAAAAATAAGCAGGTTAAAAATTCCCTTTGTATTTCCCTCCCTGGTGTGAACAGGCCTGGGGCACCTTTACCCACACTTATTGCTCCGACAGTCAGCTTCACCATACAATCAATCACCAGGTGCTCCATCCAGACAGAGCATCATTGGAGAAGGCTCCTAGAACAGCCAAACTGGCAGCATTTTGGTCAGTCACAGTAACCTGGTGTTCAGCAGCTCGGTGACCATTATCATGGCAAGGTAAATAAGCTATGGCTAAAGGAAAAATGACATCCCATCAACCTGCCATATGTCCACAGGATCCAGTTACCAGACATAAAGGAGTGTTCTGCACTCTTGGTTCTTTTCACCAGCAGGTCAGCTCACGGCCTGTGAACACCAAGGTATCTGAAGCCCCAGAACTCAGCTTCAAGAAGCTTCTCCACTTTACTGAACACACATTGCTGCTCCCTTCCCAGGGGCATGTCAGGGGGAAGAAGAGGCAAAAGGCAACAAAAGTCTCAAAGCACTTCATCGGTAAACAAGATCCAATTCTTATCTCAGAGGCTCCAGGACTGCAGACAGTTTAAAACACGTACAGGTGGTTTGTGAACCGGGAAAAAGAGGAATTCCAGGCCTCCCAAGGCTTGGTCTAGGACCAGCAGTCCACTATAGGCTCCTCATTTCAGTGTGGAAGGCAGATCCAGTGCTCACAGTCTGTGTCATTTGCAGTAATAAAAGGTTTGGGAGCTGTCAGTGCTAGCAGCCAACATTTAGCAAAACACTGAAGCTGTGCTCATAACACATAGGAATAAAAACCCCTTCCCTGCCTCAGAAACAGGGATATGTCTGGAGAGACAGTAAAACCACTGGTTCCAGCTACACATCAAGCAGAAAGACCATTATGAAGCCTTGGGGAGGGAGGACAGTGCAGCTTGCATCCGAGACTGTGTCAGCCAAGTTCGGGGGAAGAAGGGGAGAAAACAGACTGCAGTGTGTTACATTTGCAAACTCAAATTATGGTCTGTCTTCCCTCTCCCCCCATCCCTCTATTCCTGCTCTCCCCCATTTCCCATGCAAACTCTCTGCTGCTGGAAAGTGTGATCAGGGGATAATTTAAGACACAATAGCTGTGTGGCCTTTATAAAAAGGAAAAGTGTCCCATGTTTTGGAATAAGGAGTGGGAAGTCTCCTCCTGCCATATATCTGAGGAAATCTCAGTCTTGATGTCCAGCCCTCACTCCAGTGATGAGCAAAGACTGGCAGAGCCAGGGGAGAAAAGCCCTGGCTTACACCATAGGTAGAACCCACAGATGTGGTAGGAACTTGTACAGGGGAGGTTGTACACGAAGCACCAGTTTAAACAAAGGCTTCCTCAGTGGGAGTGCCATTGATTTTGAAGAAAAGTTTGGCATCTTCCATCTTCTGCTTTTTTTCTCTCTCTAGCCTACGCCTGTAGCAGACCAGGTAGATTGGGAGGCAGAAACCCAGGAGGCTCAGGCCAAGCAAGCCAACATTCACCTGCAGGAGGAAAGCAAACCAAAATTAGGCTGGTTGGGAGAAGACAATCCAGTCACATATGCAGTCGTGTCAGAGCCCAGCCCACATCACCCAGCTATGGGCAAACCAGGAGACACCCTACTCCGTGTGCTGCCAACATCCTCCACTGTTTTCATATTTACACTCCTGTGCCCTGAGAACCTTCTGTGTACAAGCTAAATGCTGCAAGAGTTTGTCACTCTGGATTATGGCTATGGGAGTCTTGTTCCACAGAACAGGCAGGGCTGTTGGAGCTGCAGGTGTTTCACACCAAATTTGCTCATTGAAGAGCAACAGGCATGGGCACATGCAGCCTAGAGAGCAGAATTCTCCCAAGGATCACCCATGTCATGATTTTATTGAGCTGCCCAGACTCTCAGCAAGACACCACATTAGCCCTGCCC